ATCCAGGAGCATGCAGCACGGACCCGTATGGAGAGAGACCAGTGCAGACCCGTATATGGGAGAGACCAGTGCAGACCCGTCTAGATCCATGGGAGAGACCAGTGCAGACCCGTCTAGATCCATGGGAGAGACCAGTGCAAACCCGTATAGATCCATAGGAGAGACCAGCGCAGAGACTCAGCGCGGAGCCAGTAACCTCCTGCAGCAGCAGTATATATGCCGTTGTTCTGTGGCCCGTGGATAAAGAAATGCCCCCTATAAATAGGAAGGGGTCACTAATACACGTCAAGATTTCCAATGTATTTGATAAAGCGCTGGCACATTTCATTTCAAAATGAATTAAAAAGTAGGCCAGATCTGCAGTGAAAAAGGCGGTATATAAATAAAGATTACTAATAAAGATTACTACAAATAAATAAATACATACATCGATATGACGGACATATCACTGGAATGTTGTATTTTTATTCAACTTCACCAAAGAGGACAACCCCAGCGTGTGAACATGTCGGCACTGAATGCGTACGAGTGCTCCTGAGGACTCGTAGGATTTGTACTTGCCCAAGAGAAATTCTGGTTACGAGAAATATTCGTGAATGCCACTTTCTTCGTAAAAACCGCGTAAGTAGGATTTACGTACAAATCTGTTCCTAAGAACCGTTCGTGAATGAGGCCCATTGTGTTTTTTCCCCAGATTGCCCAGCCCTACTAAAACGTGCTCTAAAGTTTGAGTCAGACTTATTCATTGGAATGATAGTTGCGTGTCTTGTGACTTGGACTTCTTCTCGTGACCCAAATGTGACCGTTTTGCGTGGATGTTTTAGATTACTGAAAGTAATTTGGCCTAAGAACCCTGTGTGTGTTGTGTTCTGCATAGCGTACAGCGGAAACAAGTGGCTTTGATTGTAATTATGTGAAGTTTTTCATTGTGAAGGAAACTCATTCTCTGCATTCGGCCCATATGGTGCTTCTGGCTCAACCAGCAGGAGTGAGCAGTGAGCTGCTTACAGGGCCCATGGGAGCTGGCCATAGATCGTGAGCTTTAAGTGACACTTTCGCTGGTTATGTGGTGCATTTTTTGGATCATAATATTCTTCTACCATCCATCACCTCAAACCATATCAAGTTTAGATTGAGGATAAGCCAACACAATCAATCTGGGAGGATACCTGCTGCTGTGACTTGAAGTGCTGTTGTGTTTTGATACTGTTTTTAGCTACTTTATAATTTTGTTTTGTTGGTATGGATGGATGTGTTTCTGCGGCGACTGGACTGCATTTCAAAGCCAAGCATTTATTTGCCATTTGCAGTAAAACCACATTGGAAAAACTGTGCAAGACTACCCCAGTGTGCACCAGGATAGCACATACCAGAGCTCTTGCCACAGCGCCATATTTCCGGCACCATGCGTTTCTTTCTTCTTTTCTTTCAGGCCTGTAAAGTATCAAAGATAGATAGATACTTTATTGATACTATACAGGGATCAATAAAGTATCTATCTATCTATCTTACTGTGCATAAAAAGATCTGTTGACGTCCCTAGATGCATGTGAATGGATTGTTAATCATATTTTCAAACACTGTTAATTTTTGTGGGAAGAAATCAAATATCAACACAAAAATATCCATTCCCACTGTTATTGCTGCAAACTGTATTCTGTGTATTTTAAGTGGTGTTTATAATAGTCCATCCTGTCCATCAGAATCGCACTTTTAATCCCCCATAATCCCGCTTTATGGGGCTTTTGTGGAGGACGCTGCAGCGAGCTCCTTCTCCTCCTGCCTCTTTTCAAACAAATCAATTATACAGCCCCAAAATGACTGCATCCTATCTGTCAGCGAGGGATTACAACCGGAAAGTAATTATTGACTCAAAAAGGCTCGTATTTACTTAAAGAATGTGTAGGCAACATGTGCAGTGAATGGTGCTGCTCTGTAATTATAATGGTGTCTTCATGATTTGCATTAGTTTTAATGAGTTGCATGTAGGTTTTTTAACTTATGGAGACATTCAGAGTTTAATTTGGTCGCACGTCACGGCCATTTTACAGGAGTGATCTACGGAAAGGCGAGCTGTAAAACCCAGGCAGACCTTCCATTATTTAAGTCATATATTGTGAGTTTAAGCCTGGCACTTTTACCTAATTTTAAAAAGCTGACACATTGGATCGAAAGTCAAAACGCAAGGGGAGGCAAGTTATTTGAATGGCACAGTTCATTTACAAGACAATATGAAGTGCTTTTCCATGTTTTTATATCCTTTGCCAAGTACACACATAACTTTAAATTTCCATGGAATTATGCTCTTCTAAAGTCTTAAAAGGCATAGCATGTTTTTTTGTTATTTTATTCTATATGTGATTAAAAGTTGCTTGAGTTGCAAGTTTCAGTTGCTTGATGGAAGTTGTAAGTCTTTACAACACTCATGGTCGAAATAGAGAAACAGCAGCTTTCCTCATGCATTATTATTATTATTATTAATTTAACAAATAGTGGACAGGAGATCTGGTCCATGTGCAAACGTTATTGTTTTAGTCTATGAGGGAAACAAATAAAAAAGGACTCTTGTAAAATGGCATGTCCAACAGGCTCTTATCTGCCCTGCCCTGGCCACTGCGGCAAGTCCAGGCAAATATTGAGATATAAAATGCCCGTAAATCAGAATGGAATTTCCCTTTGTTATGAGTCTATTGATTGTCATCTTGAGTGTTTTATACTCTTTTACACTCTACATGCACTCAAGTACACTCACACAGGTCCAGGACAGAAACCAAAATAAACTGAAAGATCTGTGCCAAAGAGAAAATAAATTCAAAGACATTGTGACTTCAGAACTTTTTTCTCTACTATTTCTATGCTGTTTTACTATTTACTTTACGTATTCCACACAGAACACAAACATGTTTTTTACATTAATAACAAAAAGTACAGTGAACCCTTGAACCTTTCAATATGTCGCCACATTTCAGGCTTCAAACATAAAGATATAACATTTAAATTTTGTGTCATGAATCAACAACAAGCGGGACACAATCGTGAAGTGGAACGACATTTTTTGGATAATTTAAACTTTTTTAACAAATAAAAAACTGAAAAGTGGGGCATGCAATATTATTCGGCCCCTTTACTTTCAGTGCAGCAAACTCACTCCAGAAGTTCAGTGAGGATCTTTGAATGATCCAATGTTGTCCTAAATGACTGATGATGATAAATAGAATGCACCTGTGTGTAATCAAGTCTCCGTATAAATGCACCTGCTCTTTGATAGTCTCAGGGTTCTGTTTAAAGCGCAGAGAGAACCATGAAGACAAAGGAACACACCAGGCAGGTCCGAGATACTGTTGTGGAGAAGTTTAAAGCCGGATTTGGATACAAAAAGATTTTCCCAAGCTTTAAAACATCTCAAGGAGCACTGTGCAAGCAATTATATTTCTTTGTCATGAAATCACGGACTCATGGTAGTTGCTTTGAGTCTCTTTTAAATAAAGAGATGCTCCAACAACATAACAGCGTGCACCACCCTTCAATATCCAAACTCAACACGTCCCAACTCCCTCCCAGGCTTGTCAAAGGCACTACAACATTGCCCCTAGTGGAGCATAAAGTGGATCACATTTAACATAACATCACAGTATCAGACCACTGCAAATCTACCAAGACCTGACCGTCCTCCAAACTTTCATCTCAAACAAGGAGAAGACTGATCAGAGATGCAGCCAAGAGGCCCATGATCACTCTGGATGAACTGCAGATAACTACAGCTGAGGTGGGAGAGTCTGTCCATAGGACAACAATCAGTCGTGCACTGCACAAATCTGGCCTTTATGGAAGAGTGGCAAGAAGAAAGCCATTTCTCAAAGATGGTCCATGAAAAGTCTCATTTAAAGTTTGCCACAAGCCACCTGGGAGACACACCAAACATGTGGAAGAAGGTGCTCTGGTCAGATGAAACCAAAATCGAACTTTTTGGCCACAATGCAAAACAATATGTTTGGCGTAAAAGCAACACAGCTCATCACCCTGAACACACCATCCCCACTGTCAAACATGGTGGTGACAGCATCATGGTTTGGGCCTGCTTTTCTTCAGCAGGGACAGGGAAGATGGCTAAAATTGATGGGAAGATGGATGGAGCCAAATACAGGACCATTCTGGAGGAAAACCTGTTGGAGTCTGCAAAAGACCTGAGACTGGGACGGAGATTTATCTTCCAACAGGACAATAATCCAAAACATAAAGCCAAATCTACAAAGGAATGGTTCACAAATAGACGTATCCAGGTGTTAGAATGGCCAAGTCAAAGTCCAGACCTGAATCCAATCGAGAATCTGTGGAAAGAGCTGAAGACTGCTGTTCACAAACGCTCTCCATCCAACCTCACTGAGCTCGAGCTGTTTTGCAAGGAAGAATGGGAAAGAATTCCAGTCTCTCGATGTGCAAAACTGATAGAGACAAACCCCAAGCGACTAGCAGCTGTAATTGCAGAAAAAGGTGGCCCTACAAAGTATTAGTGCAAGGGGGCCGAATAATATTGCACGCCCCATTTTTCAGTTTTTTATTTGTTAAAAAAGTTTAAATTATCCATTGAATGTTGTTCCACTTCGCGATTGTGTCCCACTTGTTGTTGATTCTTGACAAAAAAATATTTTTTAATATCTTTATGTTTGAAGCCTGAAATGTGGCGAAATGTTGAAAGGTTCAAGGGGGCCGAATACTTTCGCAAGGCACTGTAATAGACTTCCTACTTTGATTGATTTTTATTTTATGTGTGTTTTCTGTGTTGAAATTACATACTGTACCTAACATAACAAAACTCAATATGTTTGAAGTAGAAAAAAATGCAGTGAAATGGCCAGGAGTAGGAGGCAGGGATAGGAGACAGGGGTTGGAGGCAGGGGTAGGAGGCAGGGGTAGGAGGCAGGGGTAGGAGGCAGGGGTAGGAGGCAGGGTTGGTGGCAGGGTTAGGAGGCAGGGGTAGGAGGCAAGAGTAGAAGGCAGGGTTAGGAGGCAGGGTAGGAGGCAGGGGTAGGAGGCAGGGGTAGGAGGCAGGGGTAGGAGGCAAGGGGTAGGAGGCAGGGGTAGGAGGCAGGGGTAGGAGGCAGGGGTAGAAGGCAGGGGTAGGAGACAGGGTTAGGAGACAGGGGAAGGAGGCAGGGGTAGGAGGCAGGGGTCGGAGGCAGGTGTAGGAGACAGGGGTAGGAGGCAGGGGTAGGAGTCAGGAGTAGGAGGCAGGGATAGGAGACAGGGGTAGGAGGCAGGGGTAGGAGGCAGGTGTAGGAGACAGGGGTAGGAGGCAGGGGTAGGAGACAGGGGTAGGAGACAAGGGTAGGAGACAGGTGTAGGAGGCAGGGATAGGAGGCAAGGGTAGGAGACAGGGGTAGAAGGCAGGGGTAGGAGACAGGGGTAGGAGACAGGGGAAGGAGGCAGCGGTAGTAGGCAGGGATAGGAGGCAAGGGTAGGAGACAGGGGTAGGAGGCAGGGATAGGAGGCAAGTGTAGGAGACAGGGGTAGGAGGCAGGGGTAGGAGACAGGGGTAGGAGACAGGTGTAGGAGGCAAGAGTAGAAGGCAGGGGTAGGAGGCAGGGGTAGTAGGCAGGGGGTAGTAGGCAGGGGTAGGAGACAGGGGAAGGAGGCAGGGGTAGGAGACAGGGGAAGGAGGCAGGGGTAGGAGACAGGGGTAAGGGGCAGGGGTAGGAGGCAGCGGCAGGAGGCAAGGGTAGAAGGCAAGGGGTAGGAGGCAAGAGTAGAAGGCAGGGGTAGGAGACAGGGGTAGGAGGCAGGGGTAGGAGGCAGTGGCAGGAGGCTAGGGTAGAAGGCAGTGGTAGGAGGCAGGGACAGGAAGTAGGGATAGGAGGCGAGGATAGGAAGCAAGGGTAAGAGTCAGGGGACGGAGGCAGGGGTAGGAGGTAACAGATTACTCAAACTCAACTCATGCGTAATGATAAAAATGAAAGTTTAATCCAATCCAAATATGCGTCTTTGTCTATTTGTGTGAAATATGTAGATTTACTGTAGTAAATCTAAAGCAGGGAATGATCTAATAAATGTGGTTTAATGAGTTATCAAGAGACCACGTTCCCTTTTAAAAGCATGTGTGAAGTTTGTGCCCACTGCAGTGTTCTGGAGAAATAATTAGTGCTGATGTATAAGCAACTTCAACAAAACAGTTTGACATTTGAGTTTAAAAATAAGACCGAAAATAACCTTAAACAGGCTACACTGCTCTAAATTACTTAGCATGGTCAAATCAGTATTGGAAAAACTGAAACTATTGAATTTACATCATATTTAGATCAAATCGAGAACTTTCTTAGAACAGGTGGTCAATGTTTTCAGCTCAATTTTTTTATCCCATTTTAAATCAATATTGTGGTACATTAGAGACAGCTGAATCCTGATTTAAAAGGACTCATTTCAAGACTTTAGAGAGAAAAGTCTATTCTCTAGCAAGTTTGTTTGTTCGTCATACACTTTTTTGACATAAAAAAGGCTTTAAAAAAAGCATACGTTTACAAATTTTTTGTTTATGTCAGTTAATGTACATACTTTAACACAAACGGATTTGGGGCCGAAGGGATTAGGCTGAAGTAGAACTTATTTTGGGGCAAAACTCTTTGAAAATAGTAGCCAAACTAAATTTCAAGATCAGGAGAGAAAGAAAAAGGAACAATTATTTATAATGGTATATTAATAATTTTAGAAACAGTCAAAAAGAGTACATACAATTTCTTTGCAATTTTAACAAAACAAAAAAAAGAAACAGCACTAAACTGTCTTTATCAGAAAGGTAGGAGAGCTGCAAAATGACAGTGTTCCAAATATATCTTGTTTTCTTTTATTTTTTTGGAGTCTGTCCACTTGTGCTCCGCATGTGGATCCTCAGGCCAAAGCAGTTAATGCACTTATGTAATAGAATATAACACTTTCCAAGCAGTCCAAAAAAGAAATGCTCTTTGTCCCAAGCCAACAGACATGTATGTTGACCTAAATGAAGGCAAAATCTCAGACTAAAAAAGGTAAAAGAGAAGGAGATATATTTTAGATTACATTGAGGCTTCATCTTGTGCTTTATTAGCGACTCCTGCGTCTATCTGGATCAATCATACATGGTTGGTTTGACAAGAACAAAATGGCATTGAACTGTTTTTTGGCTAAAGTTGCAACAAACTACAGTACTATAAGCTCCCTCTGATGTACAGGAATGGATTTAGATCAGCTGTTAATCTCCAGAGCGGATGATGTAGCGCACATTCCTGTTCCAGTGCGTTTATGTGAACAGCAGACAGAGACGCTCGGAAGTCTTAGGGAAATACACAGGTCTTGTTTTTGTGTGATTAGGGCTCGTATCAGAACAGAGTTTATGGACTTCTTATTTTGATTCCATTGCGATTTAGTAGGAATGTTTTTATTATTGTCAAAATAGGTTAGAGTTACCTGAGAGCTTTGATCATCATCATCATCATCATCATCATCATCATCATTCCGACCTCATTCTACGGCCTGCGTCCTGGATCTATCTATCTGTCCGTGGGATTGGATCCTCAATGTGGACATCCCCGAGTTTTCTCATTGTTTCCATCTGGGTTTCTAGAGTTTTTTCTTGATGATCCAGGAGACTCCACATTCAACAACATTTATGGACATTTTTGGACTTTTTTACCATTGCATTTCTTGTGATTGAACGGTTTGATTCTCTGATCTGTGCTGGCAAATTGACGGTTTTGAAAAGTCCTCTGAATTGCATGAAATCATAATGCAATCATTTAATCAATCCATCAATCACATTTTTTGTAGTGCGCCTTTCTTACACAACACTGTAACAAATTTCTGTAAAATTACAATGACATTTCAACTTTAAACAAGTGTTATTTTGAAAAACAATATTTGGAACCATATTTGCCAGCTTTTTACCGTTTTTCTACAAGGACATTCTTTACAGTGAAGGCAACACAAAGCGTACCCATATCACATCATGCACAAATCATAAAACATTAAAATCTACTCAAAAAAACAAAACAGAAAACACACACCCACAATGGAACAGTTGTGTGTGTTGCTCCATCAGCTCTTATCATACGAATTCCTGAAGCTTATATTCAAGTGCAGCCTATATGTCAACAAAAAATGGTTTATATTTGTATACAAGTGCTCGATAGTCCAGCCAGTATAGTGTTATTTTGCCCACATGATGGTTCTCTGTTTCAACCTTTTGTTTTGCTTTGACTAGAATAAATTAGGAGGCACGTAATAGAATTATTCAGACAATTAACCAGGGCAGAGGACAGGTTACACATGCAGTAGTGACCCCTTTATAACATCCATACAATGATAATAATGCACTGTCCTGGAAAAGGTGGAGCTCATACCCACATTTACAAGACAGGATTACACTTGTTTCTCGTCTGTCTTTCTCTTCTCCGGGCGGCTCTTGCGTAACTTGACTTGGACTCAAAAATAAAAGACAAAGCCTGGAGCCGCTCAGGCCTTTCCTACAGTAACGAGCACTTTTAGATGTTAATGAATGATTCAATAGAACGCTGCGGGCTACCACGGTTCAACTAAACAGTGGTGATGGCTTTGCTCTGAGGTTTGGGGAAAGAAACCGTCTCATCATTTATTCACTATTGTAATTTTGTAGTGGTTAAGTGGTAATGTTTGAGATGGTTTGACTTGATCACTTTTGCCCTTTAAGGCCTAAAGCTTGGTATGCACAGTGTGATTGTTTTTGTACTTGGGTGGGTGGGTGGGTGGGTGGTGTTTGTAGGGGGGGCACTGCAATAGAAAATAAAATTATAAATGTGAGTCACGGCCACAGCAGAAGTAAAAGAGTAAATGTTTGTGTGCAAGGCAGCGACGTCATCCCCACGCTGCTTCTGTTCACATTAGTCACATTAGCCGCAGAGAGAGAGATCTGAGGAAACATCTCTGCGTTATCTTCATCTCTCCTCCCACCGTAACCATGGCAACATCATCACTACACTACATCACGACAGGTGAAACTCTGAAAATTATTATTTCTGTAATTCAGCTTGAAATGAAAAACATTTGATAGATGTATAACATGCAAAGAAACATATGCAAAGACTTATATGTTTAAAATTATGTTATAATTTTGACTGTCCATTTTCAAATTATTCTGAATGATCAGTCTAAACAAATAAAGGCTAAAATTTTCTGTAAAGAGTCACACATATATTAACTTCACATTGTGTATTGCATTACAGAAGTACTCTAATTGGATTTAAATAAAATAAACAAAAGTAAATGTGCACTTTATTGTCCCTGTAGGGAAATTTGTCCTCTGTATTTGACCCATCCTGATGCAGCTAAGGCTTACGTCAGGAGCATTGGTCGCCGTAGTAACAGCGCATGGGAACCCATCTCCAGATGTTGATGCTCGGCTTGGTCAGGACTACCAGAGCTATGTTTAGTGGTAGGGCAAACCAGAGCACCCGGAGGAAACATGCAAACTCCACTCAGAAAGGCCCTGTTCCGACCGGGATTCGAACCCAGGACCTTCTTGCTGAGAGGCGAAAGTGCTATCCACTCAGCCGCCCAAACAGTATTCCAGTATTCAAATAGTAAAAAATCGTTGTACTATTTTTTGTGTCCAGAAAGTTGCATATTCTTAATAAACAAGTAATAAAACAAAAAAGAAAACCCCAGTATTCTAAGTTAAATATAATTGTGCAATAATTCATACAAATACGCATGACGACACAATAATAACAGTTGCTTATAGAGTGATAATCTACGCATTCATATTGATGTAGTAAAAGGGCCACTTGAGCGAGGCACATTACGCTGATGTCGGAGCCAGATCCATTGGAAAGAACAACACTGGAGTCATTAGGAGACAATGGGCAGAAGAGGCTCTCTAAAGATAATGTGACACAGTATTGATCTGAGAAGGAGAAAATGTCCAGTGAATGGCCTCCGGTAAAGATCCTGCTCAAACCGTGCAGTGTGAGTCAAGCCACAGCACACGCACACTGTTTTTTATACTGTGAACTTATTGTAGTAGTGAAGATTCTAGATTTTCATGATGGTAAAATGTCTTTTTGGGATGAACTTTTCATCATGTTATCATTGTTTTCACATTTCTCACCTGTGCTAGACCACTTATTCTTTTGGTAGTCTTGTATTTCTTTATTTTTCTGCGTTGTGTTGATGATGGCAATGTGTTCAGACATTTTGGCACAGATGAAAACGTGTTTACAGGCAATTTAGTGTTACATCAACTTGCTCAGTGCTTGCTTGTGCTGCTGCCTCTCAAAGAAAATCCTGGGTTCCATTCCTGGGTTTGAGTTGCGTCTTTTTGCATGTTTCGCTGTTTCTGTGTAAAGGTTTACTCCTGGTGCTCCGGTTTCCCCCCCTCACCCCCCACAAAAACAAAAACAATGGGATTATCGATGAAAGCTACAGCCTTGAGCTTAATCCTGTCTTTTTAAAGCAGTAGCTCTACCGTTCTAACCCGGGACAATGCGTCTTTTTTGCCGCCAGCGCATAGTATATTCCACCGTCCCTGTAAGAAAAGCAAACCATATCAATGTCATAACTGCACCTGGGAAAGCTGTACTAAGGTCTAATTCACTCACAAACCCACACACGCACATGTTTCCATTCTTTGGTCATAAGTGCTGTTTATGCTGGAAGCCACACCACACAAAGGTGATGTAGCGTTGTGCCCTGCTCGGTGCCCTCCTGTCCCCACACGCTGCAGTGATCCGTCCCATGTTTTATTCAGAACGCTGACTCAGACGGTCCACACAAACAAACAGAGCGGCTCCTGGCCCTGCTGCGGTGCACGGGTCAGCCAGACACACCAGCACTATGGAGGACGAGCATATGGGCATGGGCATGGGTCTGTGATGTGTTTTAATTAAGCTGCATTCAAAGGCTTAGAACAAGGATGTCAAACTCATTTTAGTCAGCGGTCAAACTTAAAAAAACAGAAAAGCTGGTTGGAATTATGAAAAAATATAAAAGTCGTCTTAAAGTTGTTTTTATTTTCCGTATTTTTGTCTTTGGATAAAATAACTGTAATAGTTCAAGCAGATTTTGATTCCCCCACACCACCGTATCTTGCATTTAAAAGCGTCCATGTGGAAATGTACTTTATAGATTTAACAGTTCAATGAGTGCTCTGTAACTTCTTTGCCACTCCTGTTGTCTGTGAAACACCAATATTGATTGTATAACAGGGATTTGTCACATTTGTCCATTGCTTCACATCTGGAAACCATTTAGACAGTTTAAGTGTGACGGTGGTGCAAGGAGGATTATGTAAACAATGATATAGTGTTTATATGTTAACAGTTGTGAATAGCTCGTGGTTGACATTCATGTGTTCTGTCTCAGTCTGCGAAGGCAATAACAGTTAGCTGCATACTAAGCTAGCTTTTTTAATGGCATATTTAAATGGCAAATGTAAGCTACTCCACTTCTGCTGCTGTGACCCGTCCTGCTCCACCCAGAGGCTCCTCCACCTCTGCTGCTGTGACCCGTCCTGCTCCACCCAGAGGCTCCTCCACCTCTGCTGCTGTGACCCGTCCTGCTCCACCCAGAGGCTCCTCCACCTCTGCTGCTGTGACCCGTCCTGCTCCACCCAGAGGCTACTCCACCTCTGCTGCTGTGACCCGTCCTGCTCCACCCAGAGGCTCCTCCACCTCTGCTGCTGTGACCCGTCCTGCTCCACCCAGAGGCTCCTCCACCTCTGCTGCTGTGACCTAAAATGCTCTTGCATATTATTAATACTATTATTAGCTTTTTAGAATGATCAATTTATTCCTTTTGTTTGTGTGGATGGATGTGTTTTTTTGCTACTGGACACCTGAATTGTCTATCTACAATTGACTACACAAACTTGGGCTGCTCTTTCTCATTAAATTGTCCTTTGCTCCAAGTGGATAAGTGCACGATGCATTGATAACACTTACTCAAACCAATTTTTAACTCGGGTCTAAAAACACTCCTCCTTTTCAAACTGATGACACGGGTGGACTCTGGTCTAAAAACACACGTCTGCAGTGTGAACAGAATAAACAAAACATGTGTGAAGAACTATAGCAGTTTATTTTAATGCTGCTTCTTACTTGTTGAACTGGTTCACTTTAACTGATGCAAGCCTGGTTCACTTGGAACATAAAGAAATATTTGTGAATGTAAAAACGCCAAAAAGTTTGTCTCCACTAAAAATACTTCAGTACTTAAAATGTCCCCACTGTAGAACGATAAAAAGGCTTATCATATAATTTCTTATCTTCAGTTTATATCTTTTGAAAAATATCTGTGTAGCATTTTCTCCGCAAGTGAACCAGACTTGGTCCAGTTAAAGTGAACCAGCCCAACAAGTGTGGAGTCATTTAAAGCTCCAAAGTTTTTTTACTTATGGCTTATTTGACAAAACCTCTGCATGCCTCATAACAACCCATTCACATTCATCCAGGTCATGGACCCTGCTGCAAACTTAGATGGTCTGATCAGAGAAATGGTGCGGCCCAAATTCCCTGTGTGAACATAGTGATTGCGTTGGGATAATGCACAAAGGAGTCTTCCACCACTCTGCAATATCTTATTTATTTAAATAATTCATACACAGGCTAGTGTATAGTAAATGAACACCATTTGCATTATTATCAAAGCCGTATGTCTTGTCTTGTGAGAGAATCCATAAAGAAATCCCCACCACACTTCTCTTGTCAGGTGCATGACCACTGCGCCTGAATGTTAATTAATCTGGGAACTCAATATGCTAAATGCTCCATGGGCACATTTTATCAAATAATAGATACATGCAAATTATGCAAATGGTAATGCAGTACTTATGCGCTGAATACCAAGTATTTTATTCTATAATTAGGAGTGAGAATAAAGTGAGACCCACTTTTTTGTTTCTTTTTTTTACTTAAGATGGTGATGTTTTGTTTTTCTTGGCAGAATCGTTCTGAGGCGGTGTGAGGCAACTGAGCTCTGATTGGCTATGTTTTAATTGGGAGCCTTTAACTTGTTATCCCAATATTTTGTATACAATTCATTTGAGTGAAATCTAAAATATGTTTATCTACAACATTAAACCTCATGTATTCTTATTGATATGAATCCTGTTTTCTTAGTGTTATTATTCAACATACCGAGCCCCTCACCAACATGCACCCTGAATAACAGTTACAACCATCAAAGGATTGTCTGTTGCTATTGACACAGACATGGTCCAGGGGTTTCCATTATTCCTCCTTTGTTTGTGTCGGCAGAGTAAACCCTGTAATGCACTCACTCCTGTAGCACAACTGTAACAATTCAATCATCTAAGTTTGATTTCCCAAAGTGGTTCTTGCGCAACAATAGCCTCCTGCCAGGAACACCTTCACCTCCTCATTCTCTTCTTCTTCTCATCCCACTGAATTTCATTTGCTCTTTTGTCCGTGTGAATGAGCGTGTGAATGGGATTGACCGTATGGCCCTGTTTTTGTCTGGCGGGAGATTAGCGAGCCATTTCATATTTCAATTTCTCTCAAATCCTCTGGAAGCACTCAGATGCTTTACCCCCCATCAGCGAGCCGTGCTTTGTGACAGCTGACAACACAAAACCTGCTTTGCTCCTCATTACAGATGGACTCTGCAATTTCTGGTGGAAAGTGCAGAATTTACGTACATCCATTTGTGTTGATTTGGGATGCATGAGAGTAGGTCGTCTAAAAGATAAGAGATATAAACCGTCCATGGGCAGCACGGCAGCGGGTGGATGGTACTCTCACTTCTCAGCAAGAAGGTCCTCGGTTCAAGTCTCGGTCAGAACAGGGCCCTTTCTGAGTGGAGTTTGCAGGACTCCTCTCAATGTGGAGAAACAGAGGCTGTACTCCGAGCTCCTCCTGTTGGACCCTTTATTTAAGACAGCACCCATCCATTCTGTGAAGGAAACTAACTTCAACCCACTATCTCGTCCTTTTGGCCATTACCCAAAGCTAATGGCCGTAAGTGAGGATGAAAACGTATTGAACAGTAAATATATCCCTTTCCCTTTCGACTTTACCCTGTATTTACAACAGTCAAGTCAACGCACCGAGATACTTGAACTCCTTCAGAAACCTTCACAAACATAATCAAACCTTGGTCACGGCTCATCTCTCGCAGTCTTGCCTGTAGTTCCGTAAGCGTTCAGAAATTTCAGCCAACAAAGATTGCACACATTTAGAAAATCATGATACACATTACCAAAGAAAGACACGGGGAGGGTAAAGCCGATTGTGGAGTCTGACATTCCAGTTGCATAAAAGGCAACCGCAAAAAGGTCCAACTTTACTGGACATCTATGTTTCCACCCTCACCTTTGGTCATGTACTTGGTCTATTGTATATTTGGTGTTCCATTATTATTTGGAGATTAGACGTGGTCTTGCTGCTGGGATGTCCAGTTTGTTATAATCCCATCAAAAGAGATTACGCACTTTTGGAAATATAAATACTGTTGCCATATTCCCAAACAGTAACTTCTGCTTATTCTTTCTAGACCAAAAATATGAATTAAACAGTGGATTTGTCTTTAAAAGTTCGTACAATTTTCTGGTAAATAGAGAATTATGCTTTTGTTTTAAACCTTTCCCTTCTCATTCATCATTTAAATCAAAGTATATTTATAAGCTTAACACACAGTTGATATATATATATAATGTTAAACAGACACAATAATGGAACAAAACTGCATTATATCTTCTGCAGAAACCTTTGTCCTTAACTGCAAGGTCACAAGCATTTATGTCATGTGTGTCTGGGAAACTGGATGCTGAGCAGAAATCACTGTGGGAGAGAGATATATACATTTCAGAACGGTTTCTCTTTTTTTACTCTAAAAGCGCTGTATAAAACCAATGCATTATTATTATTATTATTATTATTTTTATGAATGCCTATATAGCAGGTGTCTAAACTGGGATAGCATCTGATTTAACTGCAGGAATCCATATTTGGTTCTGTTTGTGTTCATCGTGTCCAGCACCTTCGATCGTAGTCTCACGGAAAATATTCATGCTATTTGATTACTTATTTTAGCAATAAAAAATGTGAATGAGAAGACACTAAATGCTAAGGCTAGATGCTAAGGCTGCAATCACATGTTAGGATTCAATGGGAAAAAAATGTTAAAATGCCAAGACATTGAGCATTTTGGCTTCATTTCAGTCCACTATTTTGATCAACCTAGAATGTTTTTTGCGAACTACAACCCCAAAGGAAGCACATTTTAAACGAAAAATTGTGTATGCATTTTTATCACTAAAAAGTATTGTATAATTGACTTGGATCTTCAGATACAAATATTCTTAAATATAACCCTGTGAGTCAGATATTGGATAAAGAGTTTGCTGTCTTCAGGCTTGTGGATGATGGTCCAGTCACATGAGTCAGACATGAGAAATTCAGAAATAGCGCAGAACAAACTTTAAGTGCTGCGGGTAATATTCATGTGATCCTCAAAACAAGTTGTTACAGAAATAAAAAGAGGGAAATAATGTGTGTTTGTGGCTGTGTAGTTTCTTGCATCAACTATTTTGGGTTTCTGACCAAATCTACCTTTTCTTTTCTCTCTTTAGAGCACAGGTTTCTTTAAAATTATGAGTTAATTTATGCATTGAACTACTTATGAACAATATTTAAAACAGATCTTATTTACAGATATCTAGGCAGTACTTTCCCCACACCCACTTGCTCATGACTGCTGTGAGGAGAATAGACTGAATTAATACCAAATATGATCACGAATCGCAACTTCAACTTGACAGCAATGTAAAACGTAAACTCTGACAATTTCAAGTAAAACTCTTTTCTACTGAAATTTTAATAACCAAAAAATTGCTGTGAAATGATAC